GCACACCCCCTTTACGTCGAATTGTCGCTACGGGAAAACGAAAAGGGAATTTGAGTCTCAAAACTTCCAAGTTTTTCTATTCACAAGGCTGGAGGATGCAAAAAATTAAAAATCTATGACCTGTAATGTTGTAATGCATTTGTTGAGAGGCCATGCCCCATTAACCTTAAACTGCCGCTACAGGAAAACTAATGAATTGGCGAGTCTCAAAATTTTAGGTTTTTCAGTTCACATATATATCTATATCACTGAGACAGTGTCCAAAAAAAATTTAAAAATCTATGACCCTGGTGTAATGCATTTGTTGAGTTGGCATAGAATGACTTAACTCTTCTTAACTTTCGTGATTTCTGATTATGTTATTGTGTAGTTTTCAACATAGTATCTAACCATGAAGGAGCTGAGTACCAAAGCTGAAATTTGGTTTATAGGTAGATCTAATATATCTGATTAAAACTGAGGTAAATTTAAGAAAAGATTTTAAATGTCCACATGACGATCCGTTGTTGAGAAACATAGGCGTTTTTCACTTTTATAGATCTCGTCCCAAGTTTGAATATATGCCATTCAATTTTAATTGATTTGATTAGCCTGCGCTTGCATGTGGCTAGAGACAACTACAATTAGATAATATATCTGTAATATGAGGGGTATATACCCACTCAAATGGACGCAGGATGACCTCGAAAATCACAAAAAAATTTGCATCGTTAAACAAAGTGGCTAATTTGAGTGCAGATAACTTCAAAAGGGAAGGAATAACTGTTAATCTAAGGCCATATTTGTGAAATATGGCAAAAAATAAGTTAGAATACCAAGTTTGACCCTGATAGCTATTACCATTCTCGAGTTATAAGCTTCCAAATTTGAAGTAAATGCGTTTGCACATCTTGAAGAACCATGCCCCAATATCTCGGAAACTATATATCCTATAAGGCTAATTTTTTTTTTTTTTTTTTTTTTTTGGTTTAGCATATAGTAGATCATTTTTATGGAGTTTCATGAAAATTTGAGACAGTCATACAGGAATTTTTTTTTAATCTGGTTGATTTGACATGGAATGACCCTGCAATAGGTCAACGGTCAGAATGTACCATTTCTGCTCACTATTTGAATATTTTTTTCATTAAGACGAATATAAACATGAATCTCCTGAACACTTTGCAATCAATTGTGAGTCTCTGTGAGCAGTAGTTTCCGAGATATGAAAATACAAGATCGAAGGTCAAACTTTCAAAAATCACATTTCCCGCCATTTTTTGATAAAAAGTTGTATTATAACAAATAGGAGCATGCATATTGTGAACAATTTAAGACCAAAATCAAGTCTCTCTGACCAGTGGTTATCGAGATACAAGCGTTCAAATCAACAGGCGGCCATTTAGAAAAACGCCTCCAAACGGGACTTCCTCCCATATCTGGGAGGTATATAGGAGCTATATTTTATCTAAATTGGTCCAGCTTGCCAAATCCATCGAGAAAAAAAGGTATCCTAAAATTAGTCACGGGTCTCATGAAAATGACTCTACTAGTATCCAAGTGCCATTTTCGGGCATCTGTAAAATGTCAAATTCATAAAATTTTCTAATCCTTCCCCCCCCCCCCTACATCCCCAATCTCCAATGAAGAAAAGAAAAAAAGGGGAAAATTGTATTCAAATTCAATCTGAGAGTGCCATTTCCGGCCATCTACAGATGACATAATCCAAAAAATGTTTACCTCAGCCCAACCACGGTGTGGCTGAGGTGGTTGGACCCTCTATCTGTGAAAATCACTCTTGGGCGTCCCTCTATTACAAATACCTGTATCTCCCACTGTTTTCTTAAAAGGACGATCATTAGTAAACAAAAAACGCTGTAATACTAATGTCTTTATATTTTAAAACTTAAAGCATCACATTTTTTGGGATCTTAAAAAGGTCGATGTGCAATTTACTATAACATTTGATATTACATGGGTCACGGCTTGTCTGGGAAATCACAAACTGCGTCCCAGCAAAAAAGTTTGGGAAGCGGGGCTCTACAGTATAACAGTATAAACAAAAAATTTAAAATTCACAAGTGCGGGAGTCCATTTCTCAGCAATTATTGGATCCACTTTGGTACAGTCATGGAAATGCATGCTACATCAGAGATTGATAAAAGGAAATAGAGTACTTTGAACAAAACTGTTGGTCATAATACAATGAACGTTTCTTGTGCACATCATGATTAAACTTTACTAAATCGTTATGAGCGGGGGGTAATACTATTTCTATAATGGCAAACTGTCCTTGGCTGGCCTGTGGCAGCTGTGAAACTTGCATGATGAATCTGTCTGTTGATGAGTGGTAGTAATTTGTTGGACGGGAATGTCTAAATGGGAAATTGTTTCTTTGCTCATTGGTGGTGTATGCTAATGGTTGGTTGTAGTTTGTTGGATGGGAAAAAGTATTTTTTTGAGTTTGTCTTTTATCTGTTGAGTGTGTCCTTTGTTTGTTGCGATTGTCCTTTGCAGGGCTGCAAATTAACTTTTTTACCTGGTAGCACTAATTTTGTATTTACACTGATGAATTTAACTTTCGATTCCAAATTAAACGTCTACTGTACTAAAAAGAGTCTTGCTTTGTTGAGTTCCATCTTCATTTCAAGTTGATTCCAAACGATTTTTAAGAATTAAAGCAAGAATATACACTTATTACTAGTAATTGCAAATTGCAAGTGAGGTGCTGCAAAGTACAACTGCATATAAATGTTCTTCGAACAAAATTATTTATGCGAGTCAAGTGAAAATAATCAATAATAAAAATATACCAAATAATATGAGACACTCCCATTGTCTATATTAGAACACTTCTCATTGGGTAACAAAGTCGTAATTTTTCATTTTTGTCAAAAAGTGTCTATAGTGGTGAATTATGGTTTAGGTTTTTTTAAAATAAAGTTTCAAAAATTTCTATGTATGTGGAAAATGTAGTTGATTACCAAAGGTTACAATTTTTATTTTGAAGACTGCATGGTCTAGGAAGTATACATTTTTTATGGGGCAAGTTTCCAAGCGCGGGTTTCCTAGGGGCGAGTTGACTGCTAAAGAGTGTTGCCAAAGTGCGAGCCAGCGTGTTATTTGATCACAAGTGCGAGATATTACAAGTGTGAGCCAGCGAGCCATGACGTCATGACAATAGATACGAGACATTAACGAGTTGTGCGAGGTATCGGCTGAGATTTGTGGAGTACAATTCAGAAAACAACTGTAATGAATTATTGTGATGTTAAATAGACAATGTTAGCTATCAAGGAGCGACGTTGTTTTTTCATTGGGGCGAGTTGACTGCCAAAGAGTGTTGCCAGTGTGAGCCAGTGTGTTGTTTGATCACAAGTGCGAGACATCGCAAGTGTGAGCCAGCGAGCCATGACGTCACGACAATAGATACATTCGTATCAGACAATGAAATCATTGACACTTTCAAGTATGACAACTGTCAGAATTTAATAATCATAATATAAAACCAACAACAAAAATTACTTAAATTAGAATTCAGACTTAGTACTGCAATCACAAACATAGTATTTGTAATTACTTATTACTGTACTTATTTGTGTTTATGATTGCATATTAATAAAAAGATAAATGTAAATGATTTTCTGGTTACAATATTTCTGAAGTCAACAATACCATTTAATAAAAAATATTGGTGTAAAATAGTAGATGCAAATTAAATGCAAGTAATGTTTCTGTTATTGCATTTTTTTTTATATCAACAATAATCAACTAAAAAATATAGAAAATTTGATAGAAATATTTGTATGTATTTCTTTCTTTTACGTTATAAATGTAAAAGAGTGAATGCAAGTAATGTTTCTGTTATTGCATTTTTCTTTGTATCAAGAATGATCAACTAACAAATATAGAAAAATTGATATAAAAGGGTACATGCGAATAGTTTTTCCTTTTCTGTTATTATAAGTATAAAACGGTAAATGCAAGTAATATCTCTGTTATTGCATTTTTCTTTATATCAAGAATGATCAACTAACAAATATAGAAAATTTGATATAAAAAGGTACATGCAAATATTTTTTTCTTTTCTGTCATTTCTTCTTATGTATTTCTTTCTTTTATGTTATAAATATAAAACAGTAAATGCAAGTAATGTTTCTGTTGTTGCATTTTTCTTTATATCAACAACGATTAACTAAAAAAATATAGAAAATTTGATATAAAAAGGTACAAGCAAATTTTTTTTCCTTTCTGTCATTTCTTCTTATGTATTTCTTTCTTTTATGTTATAAATGTAAAACAGAAAATGCAAGTAATAATTCTGTTTATTGCATTTTTCTTTGTATCAAGAATGATCAACTAACAAATATAGAAAATTTGATATAAAAGGGTACATGCGAATATTTTTTCCTTTTCTGTTATTATAAGTATAAAACGGTGAATGCAAGTAAAGTTTTTGTTATTGCATTTTTCTTTATATCGACCATGATCAACTAACAAATATAGAAAATTCGATATAAAAAGGTACATGTAAATATTTTTTTTCTTTTGTTATTAAAAATATAAAACAGTAAATGCAAGTAATGTTTCTGTTATTGCATTTTTCTTTATATCCAACAACGAATAACTAAAAAATATAGAAAATTTGATATAAAAAGGTATATGCAAATATTTTTTTCTTTTCTGTCATTTCTTAGACCAACAAAAGCAAAAAATAAAAATTTTTAGTAACAGTATACAATGATAAATGCAAGTTGTCTACAATTGCATTATTCCTCACACTCACAATTTAAGCAAGCAATATAAACTAATAAATACATGTAGTGTTTTTGTGCACTACTGTAGTGTGTTTTCCTAAAATAAACAATTTAATAAAGAAAATTAATTAAAAAAAAGATATGAATCTATATTTTTGTGAATGCATTATTGGAAATTAAAAAAACAGATATAAAACTCTAATAATGCATGGAATGTCATGTAATTTACAAGTCATCACTGGTGAAAGCTTTGATATTGTGGAGTTAGTTTGTTACAGCGTCATATTCGATTTGTAGATCGTCATCCAGATTTAGAAGAGCTTCTGTGATTTCGTCTTCTGTGCATGATCTCTGAAGATTGCATAATGAAAGCAACAAGTTGAATTCACTGTTGAAAACTGAGAGACGTAGTGTTTTCTTCTGATTTGTGACAAAGATGATTTTAAGGTGCCAGTCATCGTTGCATGATTTTATACGCACAATCATTTTACATTTTGGGCAGTTGCCATTTTGGTTATTTTTTGGGATAATATTTGTTCCACAAACAAGGCAGATTTTAGACTTTGAAAGGTTGGCAATGCCACAGATGTTTCCAGTAGCTTCTACTATTGTATCAGGAATAACTTCCGCTTCTGGCAGTTTCTCTTCATACTCGCAAGTGGATGTGCAGGAATATTCATTGATGTTTTTTGGGGGGTTAAGATAGCGTTCCTTAAATTGGTTGTCTTTAACTCTGATGTTTTTGAAAATATATGTCTCACCGTCTTTGACCGAATCAACTTGATCCTCCCACAGCAAAATTTTGATTTGTCCGGTAGGATCAAGTAGGATTCCTTCCTGCTTTCTCAGTACTTGATTTAGTTTTGTAGTGATTCTTTTTACACTTCCTAAGCTGTGTACTTTCGCTTTTATTGTAACAAATTGTTCTGGTATAGCGTTCTTAATCGTGTTCAATGAAGTGATTGTGTCTGTTGGCACAGAGACTGGTGTGAACATTTGTTCTTCTGAAAGCACAGTGGATGTTATATTGGTTTGTTGGTGTATGATAACGTCCGTGCCTGTGGGACTAGAGTTAGTACGAAAGTGCTCTATCTTGACTGGTACTTTTTGATTTTGGAAATTGGTCATTGTTGGTCTTTTGTTGGGAGAGAAACAAACACCTCGTTTTGTTTTTGATTTTGTATGGACATTGAAGTTAAAGTACTTCTTACTTCCACTGTTTTTCATTGGTGAGACATTTGTAATATATCCCAACATTTTTTCCTCAGAACCTTGGGATGAAGTGCCTGTTGATAATAAGGAAATATTGCTAGCGTTAATTTTTATTGCTTATTTATTATTAAGAATACAATGCACTCTATTTTTCTTTTTCTAAAAATATTTATAAAAAAAGGAAGTGTTATAAGAGGTATTTAAAAGAAAAAACTTACTACTTTCTTGATTCATCTTTTTTGTTGTATTTCTTGCTAATCTAGGGGAAAAAATAATACAACAATTATGATTTTAGTGTAAGATTAACAAAAGTATGTTTTCAAAGCTTTTAAAAATATTGATGGTCTGGTCTTTATTGGCAGTTTGAGTATTGTATGTCTTTTTGATGATTACATTTTAGTAAAAAATTTGTTGATATTTTTATAATTAGTTCATTCAAGAGTAAAATACCGATCTGAGGTTATTAATTATTAAAGATTTATTTGTTTAAAAATCAAATTTATTTACCATAAATATTTTATTCTTGTGCCTGATTAAATTCATTGGATGCCAGTTGTGCTAACCTTTCTTCTTCATCAAGTCTGTATTTTAAATTTGATGATAATTTTATGCTTGTTAAACGTTCAAATGTCATTGGTTCAATAACACATGATGTCAATGATTTTACTCTACTAATTGCAACATAAGATATACCAGGAGTTTTTTCAGATTGACCAATGTCAATCCAGGCTTTTTGAAGAGTAAGACCTTGGCTTTTATGTATTGTAATAGCATATGCTAATTTAAGAGGCAATTGTTGTCTCTCATGAACCCCATCATGTGTTTGAACAGTCACAGTCACTGGACACACTGGTACACAAGATTTTAGAGTATTGCTGATAGATGGGCCTTTGTAGTCATCAAACTGAACAATAACAGCCACAGGCAAGTCAGGTGGTTCATTGTTATGGTGATACACAAAATCAATTATTGTTCCAGTAGCCCCGTTACAGAGACCAACATGTGGCCACAAGTTCATTGTTAGCATTACTTTTGCATTCTTTGCAAGAAATAATATTGGTTGTAGACCGGAAAAGTCTTCAGAAGCTATTTTCTTTGCAGTGGGCGAAGAATGACATGCATTTATGGAAGCTACAGGTTGCTGTAATTTGATAAGTTGATCACAATTGTATGTATGAACTTGAGCATTGAGATAGAAGAGCCTGGTAGCATCATTAAATGTGATAAGATCTCTAATGTTTGTTGGTTGTCGAGTTAACAGAGTTTCCCAATCTGTGCGTGTGGTATCTCCAACACGTAATCTCAATAGCAAATTTCTGAATTGTTGTTGTTCTGTACTAACACCTTGCACTCTTTGATTAACAGTTAGTCTAACAACTTTATTGAACATTCTGTAAGTTTGGTATCCCTGTTCACCAATAGCAGTTGATGGTTTAGGATGATAAAGTGGTTTGTCTGCCACGGGGGGCAACTGTCCTGGATCACCAGTTAAAATGAATGATTTTCCCCCAAGAACTTGGTCATACATGCCAGTAGCTTGTTTGCAACGTCTGTCAATCCAACCAAACATAGTTTGGCCAAGCATAGAATATTCGTCAATCACAATGTAGTCAATACCATTAAGGGTTTCTTGTAATCCAGATAAGGATTTACCTGAAAGATCTTTGTTCCCTCGGGATCAAATTGGTAATTTCAAAAAGGAATGAATTGTGACACCTCGAATGTTATAAGATGCCTTTCCTGTTGTAGCAGTAACTGCACATCTACTGTGCAAAAGGTTATGAATTGCATTAATAAGATAGCTTTTACCTGTACCGGCTACACCTAATATGATCAAATACAATGGTTTTTTCTCTGGAGTCAGGTTTTCAGAATGTTTTTTTTAAAATATCATATGCAAGTTGTTGCTCTTTACTGAAACTGTTTGTATTTACTACATCATAGTCTTGTTGTACAACAATAGTTGAATGTTCTTTTGTGGTTTTAATCCAAGTAGGCATTTCACCAATTTGTTGATTGGTGTAGCTGGCTCGACCTTGATGCCAATTATGATTTGTCTGTGTTATTTCATAATTTTCAAATGAAGTGTAAAGATCAGATATGATCATCCATTCTTCACGCTCTGTAGCTTGGTTCACGTCGAACTTTATCTAGATATACCCGTCTTGAAACATGATACGATAATCCCCTAATTGCGTTCGATGCCAAGTTAGAGCCAGATAATCAGCCAGCCAGTTTCAGGCCGTTGACGTCACACGGTCGAAAGGCTTGTTTAATAAAACATCTACTGTATTTTACGAACCTCTAGTACCAAGTGGTATTCGTAGAGAAGGTGTGAGTTTCCACTACCTAACCTAGCCGACCAGTATGAACCAACGACCAGTGCAGCAGCGTGTTCTATTGCAA